TGTTCAAGGCTACAGACGGAGAAAACAAACCCACGATCCGAGAATATTGGCGCGGCTTCAACATTCTTCATGCAACTGACAACATTGGCAAGGCATGGGAAGAGGTTTCAGAAAGTTGCCTGAATGGTGTGTGGCGTAAATTGTGGCCCGAGTGCATCAACAGTTTTACGGGATTCACGAACTTAGTCCTAGCTGTGAATAGGGATATCCTCAACTTGGCTAGACAGGCTGGAATCAGAGAATATTGAGGACGTCTTGGCATCCCATACAGAAGAGCTCACCAACGAAGATCTGCAACAACTAACAGAACACAGTCCCGTTGGAGGCAGCGGCGGCAAGAAAGAACCTCAATGACGCTAACTTTCAGAGGCTGGGAAAATCGTTCAACATGTTCAAGCAAGCAATGCAAATCCTTATAGATGACGACCCAAACGAAGAACGTAGCTCAAAGGTTCCATGCAAATTAATGACAGTTTTGGTTGTTACTGAGATCTATAAGGAGAGGAAGAAGAGTAGCACCAAATAGTCAACACTGGATTCATTTGTTCGTCGCAGGACGGCAGAAGCAGCTTCTTCACAACAACGGCAGCCGAGGAGAAGCACAAAGCAGCCGAGTAGGAGCAAAGCAGCCGAGGAGGAGCAAACAACAATGGAGGAGGAGCAAACAACAACGGAGGAGGAGCAAACAGCGGTGGAGGTACCCCAGTCAGCGGGGAGGAGGAGGCAGCCGCATAGTCTCAGTGACTCACCACCCTCCTCCTCCCGCCACCTCTGCTCCCACCCTCCTCCTCTGCTCCAGCCCTCCTCCTCTTCCACTCCCGCCATCCGCCTCCTCTGCTTCACTACCCACCACACACTCGCCTCCACCACCGCCCATCGGTGAGTACCAATACAAACTTAATAAAGTACTGTACTATACTATTTTCTATTGAAATGGCAATGATTTTATGTACAGTTTTACCCGCCTAACGCGGTTTCACTTAACGCGTTTTCGTATATACGCGGTGCCTTGCCAAAGCTGAACTTTCACTTAACGCGGATTTTTTCCACATATACGCGGTGAGTGTCCGAGACGCTATTTTTAGATTTGCCCCACCCGCCACCCTGCCTGACTGCCTGTTTTAGCTCATAAAATTCATACAAATTACCAGGCCAGAATATAATTTACATTGCTGGAATTCTTATAATTTGGTGATCATTTTGAATATAAACATCATATATTTTGCTTTAAACTTACAATTTTTAGATAAAAAAATTGTTCTAGGTAACTATGGTATCTTTTGTGCAAAATATATGACATTTATATTCAAAATATTCCTGGTCTTACAAGGAATCCAGCAATGTCAATTATATTATCCTAACTTTAGTTTGAGGTATTATTTATTAAAATTTAGTGGTTATCCCACACATCTCCTTGGGACGGTTGGTGGGGGGTGGGGGGGAGGGAGGGACCGACCGACCATCTGTTACCCTGTGAAGAATTATTTTTTTTTTAACTGAAGATATTTGTTTTAGCTCATAGTATTCATACAAATTATCCGGTCTGAATATAATTTACATTGCTGGAATTCTTATAATTTGATGATCATTTTGAATATAAACATCATATTTTTGCATTAGACATACAAATTTTAGATAAAAATTTTTCTCAAATTAACTATGTTATCTTTTGTGCAAAATATATGACATTTATATTCAAAATATTCCTGGTCTTTCAAGGAATCCAGCAATGTCAATTATATTATCCTAACTTTAATCTGAGGTATTATTTAATACTAAATGTTAAAAACCCTGGAAAGGAGGATTGGTGGGGGGTGGGGGGGAGGGTTGGGACTGACCGCGTGGTTGGAAGAGGGGGAGAGGCAAGGTGGGGTACTTTGATTGACAGATAGTGTTGTGAAGATTATTTTTTTTTTTATTAACTGAAGATATTTGTTTTAGCTCATAAAATTCATACAAATTACCCGGTCAGAATATAATTTACATTGCTGGAATTCTTATAATTTGGTGATCATTTTGAATATAAACATCATATATTTTGCTTTAAACTTCCAATTTTTAGATAAAAATTTTTCTCTAGGTAACTGTTATCTTTTGTGCAAAAATATGACATTTATATTCAAAATATTCCTGGTCTTACAAGGAATCCAGCAATGTCAATTATATTTTCCTAACTTTAGTTTGAGGTTATCCCACACATCTCCTTGGGACGGTTGGTGGGGGGTGGGGGGGGGAGGGAGGGACCGACCGACCATCTGTTAGCCGGCTGTGTAGTGTGAGAGGGGAGGGAGTTGAGTCCATTATTTGAATGGACATTAACTTGGCGACTGTATTTCTCTATTTCTCTTAAGTATTAATTGTGTGCATGTACCATCATAAAATTAAGATGTTATTTTTACTACAACATAGGTATGTGCCTTCAAAAACTGGAGTTTGGGGGTCGGGCCGGTTTCTATTGGAATTAATCCCATATGTTCTGTTGTTCACTTAATGCGGATTTCACTTAACACGGGACCCTCTGGGTTCTATTGACCGCGTTAAGTGGGGTACAACTGTATATGCACGTATTTATGGAAGCAGCGGGGAGGCTCAGGAACGTAACTCCCGTATTTTATCTATTTCTTATGGGGAAAATTGATCCGCTTAACGCTGTTTCATATAACGTCGCATTATTAGGAATGTAGCCCCAACGTTAAGCGAGGACTTACTGTACCTACTGTTGTTTGTTTCATTTTATCATGTTGTATCAAAGTAATATTGCTAAAACTAGTGTAGTATTACGGGAAAGAATGCTAAGATTATGTTACAAATGTATTTATTTGTGGAATTATTATTCCACTAATTATTTTTATGCATTATTTGCTCTCCTAAACTCAAAGACAGCCAGACAGCCTGGCGGCAGACTGTGTGTGTGTCGCTGAGCACTTTCTATGAAAAATAATGCAAATAAAATAAATTCTAAATTAATTATTTATTGGAATTAAGTATTATGATCAGTAAATATATGCATTACTGGCCATCCCGGACACAAAGGCAAGCAGAAAATGGCCAAGAAGTGCGTAAGTGACCACGAGTTCTCGCCATCAAAACAACGCTGTCCCCTTATCTCCCTCGCGCTGCCATTTTCCTGCCACTGTGACCCCAGGGAAGTTTCTAGAGGGTCAATATATAGTTTTTCTTACTTCTTCTTGATTGTTTTATCATTTAAAATGGTTAAAAATTATTTTGGGAAAAGTTGATTTTCTCGATTTACACCACGTGAGGGGTAAGGCCAGCGGCACCCTAGTCCGAGGCATAGGGATTAATTTCTTTTTATTCTTATTTTTTCGCCCCATAGGGAGTTAAAAATACTGTATAGCCTCGAAGAACCCATACTATTATATCAAATTTTTCCATTTCCTCTGACAAAAGTTTCTTTAGCCCTCATACAATGCCATAACAACTTGAACAAGACACTCCCAAGCTCAAACTTTCATTGTCCACTGCACTACCTCATGTGGTACAGTGGCATCGTGATAATTCACAGGTTAGGTAACAGATGATATTGTGAATTATCAAATCATAGATTATAGTTTAATTGATTTACATGGAAATAATTAGTTTGGTTCTAGAGGCCAAAAAATGAACTGATCCAAAACCGAGTTAATACAGCAGAACTCTGGTTATTCGGAGTCTGGGTAACCGGCAGCCTCAACCAACCGGCACCAAAATGAAATACAGTAAAACCTCGATTAACCGACTTTCGGATTAACCGTCAATCCCGAACCCCTAAAAAATTTTTATTTTATTTTATTCATTTATTTATTTTTTACGGGGATTAGCCCACCCGGGCATAGGTCACTGACCCACATCGGGGCCTGGGGGGCGATAATGTAATAATATTATTAATAATAATAATAATAATAATAATAATAATAGTAATAAAGAACCATAAAGAAATGCAAAAATGAAAAAAAATCAAGAGTGAAAAACAATGTACCTGTATGTATGTTGTGTTGTCAATAGTAAGAGAAACAATTGAGACTGCAATTGTATGTAAATGAGGCAGAAAGTCAGATCAGCAACCTGGGACTTGGACTTGGTTTCCATTTTTTATTCACGGTTTCTGTGTTGGTTCATATTTTTTTACTAAAGTGGTTAATGTTTTAAAGCAAATTCTATTGAAATATGAATGGCAAATGAACAAAAATGAATAGAGGGACTTAAATGAGGTAGGTAAGGGAAAGGTACTTTGAAAATGTATGTTTTATTTCTGTAGACTTGATGTACTATGAACCTACCTTTTCGATTATCCGTCGGCCCCTTCCCCCCATATGTGGTCGGTTAATTGAGGTTTTACTGTAATAATAATTATTCCTCCCATCTCCCTATAGCGTTTACTGGCATGAGTGGCCCCTGACTGCGCTGAGCTTGACTGACTCGTGGACTTGAAACCATGTGCCAGAGTGGAGTTGCCATTTGCAATATAATGTTAGATAAAAAAATGAATAAAATAAAAGATAAACAAAGTGGTACATGTATCCTCTATAATCACGGGACCCAATAATCGCTGATTTGGCTTATCACGGTATCCTCAATTGTGACCATGTGTACGTTTATCATCGATTGATCTGGGTTATCAAGGAACAGTGGCGGGTCTGTGAGAGCCAGTGGTAGCAGTGACTGCCAAGAGATCTTGTGGCGCCAGCTTCCAGTAACAGCATTTGTTTCCCCGCTCTGTTGTGGTTGGTTTAGTGCTCCATGCTTAAGATATTACTTGTATTATATTTTTAGTATACATACACATTTTTTAAGGTATATTTTGGTCAGTTAGAGGATGCTTCTTTGGGGTCGAGGGACGAAACTAATTTTTCCCATATGTTGTGTTTCGGTATGTACAGTTTTGCTTATCACAGTAGTTTTCTGGAACCTAAACCTGTGATTATCGAGGATACATGTATGTACATTCAGAATCAGTAATTCAAGAAAATAAAAACAAAACTAAAATTAGCCATACAAACCTGAATGAGGAAGTCCAGTAAGTGAGATGAGGTGTATAGCTACAACGCTGTCACCTGTGTGGAGGAACAGCTCCAACTTCTGCAGGAGTGTTGATAGTTGTGAGTAACTCATTGATCCAATATCCCCTCCCACAACAACCTCCACTTCATCCAGGTGATGAGGTCCTGAAGTGAGACAAAGAAACTCAGCCACTGCAGGCTCATTGTTAATTCTTAGGATATTCTCTTGAGGATTTCAAACAATCCTAATGTAAACTTCTGCTCCCATGTTGATTCACTGACTCTTTTGAAAAGCAGACTGGACATATTGTAGTCAATGAGGAAAGTTAATCTTTGATCCTTTAACCCTTACGCCCCGGTTTGATGCGCCCTGGCTGACATTCCAAAACGCGCGCCTTTTCACGCCGATGTTTGAATGCACAGCGCAGGTTAACAGGTTCCAGCATGACTCTTTGTCTGTCACGCCACACGCAGGGTAGCGTGGGTGGGCTCAGCGTGGTCAGTATGCATTACCCTGTCGCTATGGCCAGTCGACCCTCAACCTCTGATGCTAGGTCGCTAGCATCTTCCACCCCAACCAAGCACCGCCGCCTCGGGTTGGATGATAGCGAGATACGGACAGAACTATTTGATGTGAGTGCTGTAGTGTGCGATTCTGGTAAAAGTGGTGATGAAGGCAGTGATCATGAGGATAGTGTTAGAGTTGCATGATGTGGTGGGGACAAGTGGTGACGAGGAGGCTGGCAACGCAGCACAGGGAGGACGCCGTGTGCCAGCCTCACGCTCCCGGCCCAGACAAGGGACAATGCATCCGTTTGTTTAGTCTGATGGCAGTAATTTCCAGCCTGACATAGCTGATTTCAGACGATCATCAGGTGGAATTACTCCTGAATTTCCTTGAACGGAGGAATCTAGTGAAATGTGATAATGGCCCTGGCCCCTTGCCACACATGCGACGCTGGATTGATGTTGTTGTACCCGAACTATACGTGGTTTTTGCATTACTCACGCTAATGGCCCATGTGAAAAAAAAACACGTACTTCAGGAATACTGGATATCTCCTGATGACATCACAGCAACTCCAGTGTTCGCTAAATTCATGTCCAGAGACCAGTTTGCCTCCATCCTACGTTATCTACACTTGGTAGACAACAACAACTCTGTGGCTGGTGACCAACTCTGGAAGATGAGGACAGTTTTTACGATGCTGAAGGAAAGATTCATGAAGGTCTTCAAACCCTTCCAGTATGTAGTGGTGAACGAGTCTCAGGTGCTCTTCAGAGGACGTGTTGTTTTGAGACAATACATTCCCTCCAAATGACATCGCTTTGGGATAATGTTCTTTGTGCTGTGTGACTGCAATACTGGGTTTGTCTTAGATCTCATAGATTACACAGCAAGTGACGTAGACATACCCAAAGACGACCCACATGGTTTCTCTGGGCTGTTGTCAAGAAACTCATGGACCGCTACTTTGGAGGGAATCACGTCCTCTACACGGACAATTATTAGACCTCTCGTTCCCTGGCCAAGTTCTTACTTGAACATGACACCGGTTCTTGTGGGACAGTACGCAAGAACAGGAAGCACTGGCCCATGTTTACTGGTAAACCTGCATGAGGAGAGATCCTGCTGAAGCAAGCAGACAAGATGCTTGCCATACCCTGGCATGATAAGTGTACTGTGTAGATGCTGACAACCGTGCACAAGGGCAAAATGGTGGACAGTGGATAAAAGGTCTGGACAACAGGAGAGGCAATGAAAAACCTGACGCTGTCGTGTACAGAGTGGATAAGAGTGACATGCAGGTTGGCATAATTGAGTGTGTTAGGAAAAGTATCAAATGGTATAAGATGTTCCTACACCTCTTGGACATTACCATTCTGAATGCGTACAACTTGTACCTTGTAAAAAACGGGAAAAATCTTCTCGGGGTTTTTCAGAAAAAAGTGATTTCTCAACTCCTAGAGAAATATGGTAACATTGTGCCAGCTGTACCATGACGTCACAGCCAAGCTGGACTCCCAGACCAACTCCTTGCACGTGAGTGGGCTGCTTGTCACAACCTTGACGACCTTCCGAATGTTCCATGTGGTCGTAAGGTGCAAAGGCGATATTACGTGACGACTTGGTGCAAAGAGTGCAACGTTGGTCTCTGTAAACATTGTTTTATAGAGTACCACACAAAGAAAACATTCTAAAACAATGTGGGACATGAGGAGTGCTTGTAAAAAGTAGTGTAAGTGTATTTGTAAGGTACAAAGTGACAAATTTGTGTTAAAAAGTACATAGTTGTGCGCAATCAGTCGTCACTACCCACAAGTGCCGGCAGACAGCTAGCGAGGCGTCAGGGAAGCACCACCACCTCCACCACGTATCACCACCCCCCTCTCCTCCTACTCGCGGTCAAAGGGAAGCTTCTGGGTAAGTACCTACTATTGTTTTCTTCTTTTTCATTGTTTGTCCATCTTATCATGTTGTATCAAAGTAATATTGCTAAAAGTAGTGTAGTATTACTGGAAAGAATGATAAGATTATGTTACAAATGTATTTATTTGTGGAATTATTATTTTTAGAATTATTTTTATGAATTATTTACTCTCCCAAACACAAAGACAGCCAGACAGCCTGACGGCAGACTGCGTGTGTGTCGCTGAGCACTTTTTATGAAAAATAATGCAAATAAAATAAATTCTAAATTAATTATTTGTAGGAATTAAGTATTATGACCAGTAAATATATGCATTACTGGCCATCCCGGACACAAAGGCAAGCACAAAAATTACCGTTAAGTGCATACGTGACCACAAGCGCTCGCCATCAAAAACAAGTTTTCCCCGTACTTCCCTCATCACTGAGGTGCCACTCCTCCATACAAATGTTTGCCGATGACGCCAAGTTATTTCAGGAAATTAAGAACCAAGCGGACTGTGAAGAGCTGCAGAAGGACCTCTGTGGGCTCCAGGAATGGTCGAAGGAATGGCTGCTGAGATTCAATGTCACGAAGTGTAAGAGGATGCACCTGGGGCGTACCAACGGTAAGGAGGCGTACCATATGTCCCAACGGGATGAAGAAAATGTACTAGTTGAGACTGTGTGAGAAGGACCTAGGTGTGTATGTTGACAATGAGCTGAAGTTCTCGGCCATTGTGAGAAGAAGGTAAATCAGGCAAATAAATTATTGGGTCTTATAAGAAGGTCGTTCAGATATCTAGACGGTCCGTCCCTCGTGACGATCTTCAGGAGTGAAGTGCTTCCCCATCTGGAGTACTGTCACCCCATCTGGTCCCCGAGATATGCTAGGGACTGTCAGTTGGTTGAAAATGTTCAAAGGAGGGCCACCAAACTGGTGCCTGCACTTCGGCATCCAGCTACCCTGAGAGATTGGAGCGCCTGAACTTGCCTAGCTTATACTACAGACGGGCAAGGGAGGACCTAGTTGAGGTTTATAAGCATCTCAGGGGCACTACTCAGTTGAGTGTCCTTACTTGGAGCTGGCGGACGCTCCACAAGGGGTCACAGCTCAAGATTGAAGAAGAAGCAAGTCCGGAAAACCGTGAGGGCAAACTTTTTCGGAGTGAGGGTTGTAAACTCTTGGAACAATCTACCAGAGAGTGTTGTGACGGCACCGAGTGTGAGCTCTTTCAAGAGAAGACTTGACCAACACTGGAGCGGGTTCAGGTACATTCAGGAGCCGGTGCATGTTGCCAACAGTGCATGACAGAGACGTGACCGACGCCCGGGCGGCTAGCGAGCCGACCTTTGGTGAAGAATATAAAGGAAAGAGATGACGATCGCCAAGCGGCTAGTGTAAGAGGATTAAAAAAAAAAAAAAAAAAAAAAAGATATATAGTTTTTCTTACTTATTTTTTTATTTTTTATCATTTATAATGGTTAAAAATTATTTTGGAAAAGTTAAGTTTTCTCGTTTTACCCCGCGTGGGGGTATGGTCAGCGCCACCCTAGCCCGGGGCGTGGGGGTTAAACATTTTCTACATTTGCTGTGCACACAAGCATGCACGAACGCACACACAGAATTTCTCATTTTTATAAGACAATTTTATCATGAATTTTTTGTACCTATGACAGCAAACCCTGTGAGATACTGTATAACCAATCTTAGAATCTTAGTGGATTAACCCAATCGAGATAACTGCCACACAGTTGCAGGGTGTACACCCTGGACAAGTACCACAGTAAGGGGTTAATTTTTTTATAGCAATGATTTTAACTTCCCTTTATTATCTATGGGCGAGGAGCAACTTTTAGCTTCAGACATGAAAAATATTTACCATTTACTGCCAGTAAACAATGGAAACGTAAAATATGTACCAATTAGTAATGAAAAGTTGTGCAGTTCCTTCAGCAAATGAAGCTCACCAACTTACAATAGGTTAAATTACCTTACAACATGCTTTCAGTAGTCTATGTTGAAGTTCTTAGCACAGGCTAACTTATCATATCATATACGGTATCACAGTTCTCATTGATCTACAAAAAATACCGGTAATAAAAACCATTTCGATATTTCACACTTAATATAACACCCAGTAATCTACTTCAACCTCCTATTGTTTACAATGACGCATGACGCACCACCAGCTGTTGAGTGCATCAGTTAGATGGTACACGTGTTTTTCGAATCGTTTTCAGTTAAAAAACTGTTACATCACATGCATATTTTACCTTAACTGTGCCAGAATGAATATATTCTCGGAAATAAATAGTAGTTTTGCTGAAACGTGATGTATTTTAATGTAAAATAGGATAAAATACATGACGAAAACAAAAGATTTTACCTAACCTTCCGATGTTCAAGAGAAGTTACTCGGTTTCCCATCATGCACGGGTTCAACCTAACAAAACTATTAAGCATGTATAGGACGACCCCCAATTTTTTGCCTAAAAATTTGGTCTTAAAAACTCGAACTATACACTATGGTTCCTGCAACACCCATGGTCAGTCAAGTGTGTGGGAAATCTATATACAGTGAGCCAGCCAGTTACCCATACATCAAGGCAGAGGGTGGATGTCCATTAAAGAGGCCTTACAAGGCAGCAGTGGTTAATATATACTAATAATAATGCTACTACTACTACTACTAATAATAATAAATGAATAAATAAATAAATAAATACATTTTAAAGATAATAAAAAAGGCAATAAAATTTACCAGAATTAAAATAAGTATTCAATACTTGCCTTCCTTAACAATAATAGACACAGTGTCAGAGTTTGATGCTCCTTGCTCATCCCAGACTGTCAGCTTCCACACATAACCACCAGCTACCACATCTGTAAACTAAATAATATTTTCCAAATAAATTTTCATTCAAAACAGAACAAACATATGGATGTGTAATGGATGGTAATGTATTCAGTGCCTCAACTTACAATGCAAAATGAACTGATATGAGACACTATGAATCACTGTGGATGCTAAGATTCACTTTATACACAATATATTCAAATTAAGGATGTGAACAAGTACAGTACAGTATAAGTTGTTTCCGAAATCCATTAAATCGAGGTCCAAAGAATCGAGGGTCTACTGTGTCTAAAGGATCAACAAACCATCTTTATGCCTCCATGTTCCAATTACATAAAATTAGGATAAAATTAAACTGATGTTAACAGCCTATTACAGTTCTCTTCCTTGACCTCAATACAGTAAAATAAATTTGTCAAGTAATGAGCAGAGATTTACACACTTACTTTCCTTAATCTACCATGCCAATATAAATCAATATATTGACGACAAGAATAATAATCATGGTGAAGTAAATACAGTACCAATAAGTAAATGAATGTTTTATTATACAGTACTACCATTAAGGGTTTCAGACACTATGGGCATGGTTGATTCATTGGTCCCCTGAACTTCAACACCAACCAACTCAAGCTTGTTATCTTATTTTAACCCGTACCTCCACTTTTATAATTTTTGGGGGCGAGTAAAGGTGCGGCTTATAATCGTGCAAATACAGTACAAGTACATGTCTATTATTAATATAGTCTATCAGTATTCAGATTAGTTCTCATTATTCCTACAAGCATTGATAAAAGGCGAGTTGAAGTCCTTTATTACAATCCTAAAGAGCAAATGAGAATTTGCACCAAATACTTTAAGAAGCATAGGTACCATGAGAACAGGAGAATGGTCTGAGCCATTGATGACCTTGCCAGCAGCGAGAGATGTTGCATCTCTCTCCCACAACCATCTTGTAACTGCCACATCATCATTGGATTTTGAGCCATCTACCCTCACAACAGATGCCGGAAGGATTACACTAAAATCACCACCTGCATTGGCCTTTGGAGGTACATTTTTATCTGTAAGATGACATGTTATTAATATGGACCTTAATTAAATTCCATGTGGCATGGATAGAAATGCAAGAACATTGTGCACAAAGTTTCTAAATACATCATAATTCATCTCTGAAATATCATTTTGAATATCCAAAAATGTCCTTTATAAAAAAATTATTTTTATAGGTAGTACCTAATGACCACTAACCTTGTATTACTGTCACTGTAATATTATCAGTGGTGTTCACAGTGTGGTCATCACCATTCCAAGTTGTTAATCCAAACAAGTACTTTCCTTTGGTTAGTCCTGAAACATTCACTTTCACTTCATCAGTCTTCGAGAATTGTGCATAGTTTGGTCCACTGAAATGTTCATTTTCTTTTTTTACTACTTTGTATAAATTATAATGAACAACACAAAGTAAATTTAATTCTAAACAAAAAGAAACTGACTTGAGATGTTAATAATTTCATAAAGATGACAAAAATAACTCATGGTTATAAATAATAAACTCTTTGTGGCCTGATCCCTAAGAGTAGAGAGAGTAGTATCCTTAAGTTACTACTGTATATACCTGATCTGTTTCCAAAGCCAGTGAGTAGTTTGAGTAGTATCTGTACTATGACTTCCATCAAGTACAACTGTTGTGTTTGGCAGCACAATCTGCACATCTTCTCCAGCATTTGCTAAAAATCATAATTTATTGATTAGTGTTTATGGTGACCAAGCACTTAGCTTTATACATAATTTAGTTTATTTCAGCAGATATGAATTTTAATGAAAGTATTTTCCAATGTGAAACCACTCTACACTCTGTGAGATACAGAATGTAAGATGATGAAACAAACTGGAATGCTTTACTGTATAGAGGGGTATACATTTATGAAATTTAATACTGTAAATGTTTAGGCACAGTTATCTAACACCAATATTAGTTTACTTAAAAAGACAAGAAAAACACATCATAATGAGATGGTTACCATACCTTTTGGAGCAGCAAGGTTAGGTTTTTGGACATAAACATAGACTGAAGTATTAGAAGACTGTCCAATGCTATCAGTAACACGAAGTATAAACTGATAGTGGCCTTCCTCCAGGTTACTTAGATGCAAGAATGGGGTCCTTGTGTCCTGAAAGCAAATGATCTCAAACAGTTTTTGTATATAGACATTTGTCAAAATTCATGACAAAAGTCGACAAAAAATGGACATGTCACCGTGCAGAAACATAAAAAAAAAAATCGACACATCAACACATCCACTGTATGGTATAGTGTTAAACAAGCCTCTTCAACAAATGCAACTCCCAGTATAAATAAGGGCAACTTATATTGTCATTTACAGAAAAAAATTACACCATGATTATTATTACAGGTTTCAAGTTTAATAATATGCTAACTTAGGTGACAGACTTTTCCACATCATCGCAGGAATATTTACCTGCATATCCACAGCTTTGCCAGAATCTTTAGGTCCCTTAGTCCACTCCCACTCTTCAATGCCATGATCGTCAGTGCTGGTGTTTCCACATAAAATTATTTCTGTCTGCAAGAGAAATCTAATTAGAAATAACTGAAGGAAAAATACATTTCTGGCCAACAAATTATAAACAAATATGACTTTCCTGCATTTACTGCTGTGATCTAAGCATTCCAGAAATTTAATTTGACAAAATGTATGAACTGATCCTGATAGCACATTTTATCACTGAACTCTGAGCTTGGTAACTCGAGTAATGAACTCACCACCTTTTCAATGGTGGGACTTAGGAAATCCCATAACAGTTGTAATCAGGAATTAATATTATGATTAATCTAACTTTCCATCACCCAAAAATGCAGAGCAGAAGTAGAGATTGCCCTTAATGAGGATTCTGGACAAAAGCATAGTCGTCTCTGACAACATCATTTATGCATGCGAGGCACCGACACGAGCAACTGTTACAGGTCATCCAACATGTATAGATATCTGGATCATCAACTCAGTTCCCATTAACTTCAGCTACCCACTGTATGGAGGGGGTGATGCTCAGATCACCAAGATGTAGAAATCACACAGTCATAAATGGAGTTTAAGGACCAATTCTCCATTTTTACCTTAATACCAACATGGGGGGAAGTGATCTAAAAGTGCTCCAAGTACTAATTCGACACTAGAAAGGAATCAACCTACAGTACTAAGCTAAAAGTAGGATATAAGACTAACCTAAGAGATTCCCCAAAATACATACAGTAGTCCAATATTACAATGTTATATTTTCATTAAGACATCAGCCAATACAGTAGAACCCTGGTTATCCAGCACCTTGGGGGATTGAGAGGTCCCAGATAAAAAGATTTTACTGTTAGTTGTACCTCATTCTTAGGATCCTCCAATAAATTCTACAGTGCAGTGGTACAGACTGACCTCGCAAATTTGTGTCTCAGATAAAAGGAGTTCTTTAACACTTATTCCACTCTATATAAATGATGTGGCTTAGAAATAAAGAAAATATAATATAAAAATACAAAATTATAAAAATGAACAGCATGGGTGAGTATGTGTGGAGGAAGTAGGCTATAACAACGTCTTGTCAGCCCAGCCACCATGTTTACTGTTACATGTAATGTAACTATAAATGTTGTTGAAAAATAATTACATGACTCTACTGTAGCTTAGATATAAAGAAACTATAATATTAAACTATAAAATAAGAAAAATGAAGAGCATAGGTGTATATATGTGTGGAGGCGGTGGGTTACTGGGCTATTAATGAGTGGCCGCGCTCCTCGATATGGTGTGACGGCATACCCACAGCCAGTACGGCAGCCGCATATCTAGGAGTCAGCTGGGTGACTGCCTCAACTGTGTCATGTTGAGTGGGGAAGGAGCTATTTTTTTTTCATAATACAGTCATGCGCCGGTTAACGTCCTAGATACGTTCTTGGAAACGTGACGTTAACCGAAATGGACGTTGTCCGATCATCACAAACTTTTCATTTATACTTACGTGTATGTGGAATACTATATACGTACATATACACTTTTACTCTTAAATCACTACTGTAATGTGATACAGGTGATTAATTTTTATCTCTTGTGCAAAATACATGACGTTTATATTAAAATTATTCACTGTTTTACAAGGATTCCAGCAACACCGAGCAGATGGGGGAGAGAGAGGGTGGGAGCGAGGGAGGGGGCGTGGGGGGAGGGGAGGTAGTACGTTTGACAGTTGGCACAGGCCCAGGTCTAACGCGTGTATATTTATCAGTTCTTAGGTGACTAAGCTTCACTCTTATAAAAAGTCAGTGAAATGACCTGGGTGAATATAATTAACATAGCTGGGATTCTTGTAACATACTGATTAATTTGAATATAAACATGCTATAATTCGCACTAGACAAAACAATTTTGGCACCGTAATCAAATTAGTACATGTACACTCCAGCTTTGCACTAAGGTCATTTATTTCTATTACGTTTCTTTTTGTTTAGTGTGTGCATGTAAATAGATCTAAATACATTAAGAAATTTATGTAAATCTACCCAAAAATACAATTGAAAAACTTTTTATAAAATGTACTACAGTATTGTACACTAATGTACTACATTTTTTATATCTTGCGCAAAATATATGACGCTTATATTCAAATTAATCTCTGTCTTGCAAGGATTTCAGCAATGCAAATTATATTATCCTAACTTTAGTCTGAGATATTATATAAAATAAACATAGAGAAATCACCAATCTTTTGTCTTGAACACGAGGGTGGTGGGAAGTGGGGGGGGGAGGGTGACAGAATGTCTGGTGTTTGTTTGTTTGTTTATTTGAGATAAGAGTTGACAGTTGGCGCTGAAGGCCTGCGTGTTTATTTATCATTACTTAAGAGTGACTAAGCTCTTCTCATAATTTGCCACCCAAACGACCTGGGTGAATATAACTTACATTGGAGGGATTCTTGTAAGATAGTAATTTATTTGAATACCTGTATAAACAAGCTATACTTGCAACAGACATAACAATTTTAGTACCGTAATCATTTAGTACATGTACAATACAGGTTTGCACTTAGGTCCATTGTTACTGTACAAAATTGACTAAATTCACTAGATAACGTACGACTGGCCGCACAATCTATAAGAATACGCAATGGACACGTGACTGTGCCCGCTCTAGGGCCATTTCGGTTCTCTATGTCCCATTATTTGAATGTTTTTTTTTTTTCAATTTAAATTTTAATTGTTTATTCCTTGATAGAGGAAGCGGGATCCTAATGCTGTCACTTGGTACCCCTGTACCATGATACCAGAAGCAACAGGCCAGTGTCACAGGTATATACACTACGGTACAGTCATCCCTTGGTTATCGCGCCTAATTGGGACCCCGTCGATAACGAAAGTACAGAACCTATGGGATTTATTCTAATTGGTTCAGGCACCCAAGACCCAACCCCAAGTTTCCCATTTTACGACAATTTAGACCCACTAAATATATATACAGTTGTACCCCTCTTAAGGCGGTTTCACTTAACGCGATTTCTCGTATACGCGGTGCCTCACCAGAACCGAACTTTCACTTAACGCGGTTCATCTACTCATATACGCGGGAAGCGGCGCGGGCACGATGCACACAAGGTCGCCCAGTCATCAAAACATTACCGAGTTCTTCACCCGCCACAGCCGGCCCAAGTCAGTGATAGTGATAATTATAGTGAGGATATGGACTTATATGGACTTTGAGGGGTTTGACAAAGAGGCCCTGCAAGCCTCTGTGGTGGATAGTGATACAATTGATACAAGTGATACAGGTGAGGGCCAATAATCTGCCCTCTGCCTCGGAACCAACCCCCCATCCTCGTGTGCCCAGCCATCTTTTCTACTAATGTAAGTGATAAAAAACCTAATATTATTGATATTTCTCTTAATTATTAATTGTGTGTGCATACCATCATAAAGTTAAGATAATATTTTTACTACAACATAGTTGTGTGTCGTCAAAAAGTGGAGTTTGGGGGTTGGGCCAGTCTCTATTGGAATTAATCCCATATGTTCTGTTGTTCACTTAACGCGGTCCCCTGTGGGTTCAATTGACCGCGTTAAGCGGGGTACAACTGTATAATGTTATGGTAAATATATCATAAACACACATAGGCATGGTTAGGTTTATTACAAAGTGATGAAAAGGGTACGCTTAATACTGTAGTCCACAAAACATGTAGCTATGCTTTTTTTATTTGGTCCCCCGTCATACGAGTCCGTTTTCTCTCACATCAGGACGCCTGAGTCCCCCGTTTTCTCTCTTAATCTTAGAGTGCACCAGAAACTTTACTATTTTTAGTAATGCCACAGAATTTGAAATTGCAACCCCAATTGCAACTGGGGGTGCAATTGTTGAGGCAACTAGATATGTCTGATTACAGCAAATGTGTTATTGTCAATTTGTAGGTGAAAGATTTTTTCTTCAATAGAAGTAGGTTAACATTACACCTGTAGACAAATGCTTAAAAAGCCTAAGTAAGGAAGCATATTCCTTGAACACATAATATCTGACCAGTATGGGGAGGATCATCGTGTCTCCGTCAGGGGGTCATGGAGTGGCAGTCCAGCAGACGTCAGGTTTTTTTTTAAGGGGCCACGGATGCATATGCGATCGGACGTTGTTCGGTCGGATGTTAATCGGCGCATGACTGCATATGTGCTATTGCATTTTATGATATGGTGTGTATCAATTTTGTTGTTTATCATAGAAATACATATGGCAGCTCATCCCCGTTGCATGAGGTATTCAAACTTATAATTCTAGCTGATTTGGGAGGAATTTTTATTATTATTATTATTTCATTTTGGTGCCGGTTAGTTGAATCAACCAGTTTCATGAATACCGGATAACCAGGATTCTACTGTGAGTGCGTCGTCGCTGTGTGTGTGTGTGTGTGTGTGTGTGTGTGTGTGTGTGTGTGTGTGTGTGTGTGTATATACTGTATATACATATGTGTGTATATATATATATATATATATATATATATATATATATATATATATATATATATATATATATATATATATATATATATATATATATATATATATATATATATATATATATATATATATATATATATATATATATATATATATATACTGCAGGGTGAAATCATATATTATCCTAAACCACAATGTCTCTATGGTAAAATGTCAGATTCTGCATATGCCCACGTGTTCGTGACAGGTGCGAGCAAATTAAACATAGTCCAGGCATTCTGGAACGCGTCAGACAATCAATGGTACGACGTGTACAGGCCTGCATTGAGGCAGAAGGGGGCAACTTTGAACATTTCCTTTAGGTTGTAACAAAGAGGGTCACACTGTAGAGATCTGTGAATAAATGATTACAAAAACCTATGGGGGTTTCACTTCAAATTCACTCTCATTAATACAACATCTTAAATGTATTGTAACATGGAAACTATGCAGAATCTGACATTTTACCATAGAGACATTGTGGTTTAGAATTATCCAAGGATTTCATCCTCCAATTTAATGTATTCTTTGCTGAATCATATATATATATATATATATATATATATATATATATATATATATATATATATATATATATATATATATATATATATATATATATATATATATATATATATATATATATATATATATATATATATATATATATATATATATATATATATATATATATATATATATATATATATATACTTGTATATATATATATATATATATATATATATATATATATATATATATATATATACAGATGAAAGTTAAGGCACACCGTGGAAAAAAAATAAAAAATCATGGTAAGGCAATAAAAAAATGAAAATAACACTCACCCACCCCTCTTAGTATTTTGTTGTGTTCCCAGCACCTCTTTCAGTCGTTGTGGAACACTGTCTGCAAGGTTTTGCAGGTACTGTGGGGTGAAATTGGCCCACAGTTGCTTAATTGTTGTGGCGAGCTTGGGGACGGACGAGCTGTCGAGGTCACGTAGGCGACGTTTCATGAGCCCCCAAAGGTTCTCAATAGGGTTGATGTTGGGGGAATTGCCAGGCCAGTCCTTAAAAAATGAAACCTGGTAATCCTCCAACCACTATGTAACCAACTTGGCTGTGTGGCAGGGAGCACCGTCCTGCATGAACACGTCGGCGCGTGTTTTCTCAAACGAGTCAGGCAGAACGTCACAGAGAAGCTCGAGGTACACACCCTGGTTAACTTTAATGTTTTTTTCAAGCACAACCATCTCACCAACACCGTAATAAGTGAAACAACCCCATACCATCACTGAATCAGGATGCTTGACTGTCTTGACGGTGTACCTGGGGTCGAACGGGTCAGAGTCTGGCCGGCAGTACACCCTATCGTGACCACAACCACTCACTGTAAACATGGCTTCATCACTCCACAGGACGTTCCTCCACTGCTGAAGGGACCAGACACTGTACTTCTTTGCAAAAGTGATCCTCTTCTCCTTCCGGGCAGCAGTCAGCAGAGGCTTACGGCGTGGTTGGTAGGCGCGATAACCGAGATCGTCATGAAGAAGCTGCTGCACCGACCTTAAGGAGACGTGACCAAGGAGTCCGGGGTTAGCTTGCTTTAATTCCCGGGCCTTGAGCTTAGGGTTAGCATTAACTTGCCTAGCAATCACCTTCCTGGTTCTAGGAGACTTAAGCTGTGGTCGCCCAGACCTGGGTTTAGGGGTAGGCAACTCTTCCTGGCTGTTTGCTTCAAACTCCGAGATGAATCGGTACACTGACCGGCGGCACACACCGGTTAATTCAACTATTTCAGTAACTTTATGATTAGTCTTGTATAAACCAATCACCTGTGCAACATCCTCACACTTGGTAACTCTCCTGGATATCTTAAAGACCCAGAAATCACACGATAAAGCACTGTAACTCAGGCGTAAAATCACGGCACGCGGCGCTCACATGGGTACAAAAACCTTCCACCCACTCAACCTAAACAAAGACTGAGCGGTTGTTGCTATGTGACAACTGTCGCCTAAGGGTTCCAGATGCCGTTAGAATTGTGACTAAATATTTCTGATAAAAATTTATCCCTATCTTGAGGGTAAAACGATTTGTGCTAAAAAAAGTGATGACTCAACCCAATTTGTGCCTTAATTTTCCGCATAGACTGTATGTATGTATGTATGTATGTATATGTATATGTATATGTATATGTATATATATATATATATATATATATATATATATATATATATATATATATATATATATATATATATATATATATATATATATATATATCATGTAGATCCACAATGAAAACGTTGCCTCTGAAGATGTCTTGAATAAAGACGAAAGCTAAGGTGCTCCGTTGTTTCCCTTTTCCCGTGTGATTTTATCAAGATTCAGTATATATATATATATATATATATATATATATATATATATATATATATATATATATATATATATATATATATATATATATATATATATATATATATATATATATATATATATATATATATAATAGAGAGGTACAGCAGTATAAATGCTCACCTGAGGAAGATAGACAATCTTAGCACCACCAGCATTTGCTGTTGGGGGATAATCCGTCTCCTTAATGACATTCACAACAGTTGTTGCATTCCCCTCAAGACCTTCCTTATCCTTGACACGCAACCTTTGAATAATACACATAAAAATTTAGAAAACCAATTTTTTGCTTTTGTACTTTACAGAAGAAGAATATTATTGAACAGTTATCATTACATAAAAATATATCCAAGTTCCTAAGATTTATAAATTGTTTCTGTATTTTCTGCCTTGGTAATTTCTAATAAATGCACCTTGAATGTCAAAACAATAATTCTTATTAAACATAAACTTGATCATACAATATGTTAGTATACTATGTATAAACATGGAGATGCAAAAATACATGTAAAAGATGAAAACTTTAGCCTGGGTTATATAAAGTTTCAGCAGCAAAAGTACACTACTGTATGTGAAAATTTGGTGCTTATGAAGCCAGTGAAGATGAGGACGTGTATATGAGGCATTGCCTCTAAGAAGGGCCACTTAGCCATTTTAGCGAAAATTCATTTTCTATGGTTTCATGTAGCCAGACCCAGGTTCTATCATTTGGTGAGTAGAAATGTATAGTATTCGTTCTTTTAACCAATGGCATCAAGGCTTCTTCCAGTAGTGTTATGTGAAACCGAGTGAAAGATCAGTCAAGCAGGGTGTTACGTACGATAACATACGTACACAGTTTTGGGTGATAACACTGTCTATAAACTTTGTCCATGATCATTTTATACATAATTATCTCATAAAATATTGTATTAATTATTAATAGGACAGATAGTTATTACCATTAGCATTCAGAAATACTGCAGGAACCAAATTTTACCAGGGGGTGCTGAATATTAATTCTGGTGCCCTAGATACTCTGTGGTGCAATGTACAGTATACATACAGTACCACTTTATACCAAAAATATTGGGGTGTTACAGTACCCTCAGCACCCCTCTTCCTGCATCCATAGCATTCAGGCATTATTATTGATTTTTTTCATGCATATTCATGATGTATTACCCTAGACCAAAAAATTAAAATTGATAAAACTTGCACGAGTTACGGACCAAAATAGAAAAAAAAATTAAATTGGGTTTTTCTCAAAACGCTTCATGCAGTGGTCCCTCGGTTAACGAGCACAATTTGTTCCTGAAGGTCGTTTGTTAACCAAAAATTTCGTTAATCGAAAACATTGTTTCAATGGGATTTTGGGTAATTGGTTCCAGCTCACCGAAAATTTCATAGAAGGTAAAAATAAATGCAGTAAAGTACACTTACCTTGAGGTGTGTATGAAGAGGGCTCCTGGTTGATGATGATGGGAATTAGAAGTGGGGGGGGAGGAGAAGGGAGAAGAGAAGGAAGTGGGGGTGGAAGAGAAATCACCCCATGCTTCAGGCCGTCATTTCACCCATAAAATTTTAAGTTCACAAGGTGTAATTCAAGATTATTTTCTTTAAATCAACATTGCACTGCGCTATATATTGTCAATATGTATAATAAATTTCAGAATGACCAATAATTGTAATGTAAAAACATAAAAATAGTTTATGTTCAAGAGTCTCAAGCAAGATGTTACCTCTACTGACGAGAGATACAAACTGACGCCTGATTGGTGAGTTGAGTGGCTGTTTGGCGCGCTAAAAACTAGTTCCCTGTACTTCAATTACGTTAAATAATTGCTAAAATGACTAAAAATGTTAATATAAAATTTGGAAAATTATTGAACAGTACAACCTTCTTGATATTTACTCAAATGGGAACGAATTTAAGCCCTGGAACCAATTACTGTATTGGCGGACTAATATTGCAGCTGGTGAGCAAGCGAAAACATGTTGAGAGGAATTCGTAAGGAATTCGTTAAATGATTTTTTTTCGTTAACCGAAGGTAATTCGTTAACCGAAATTTCGTTAACCGAGGCGTTCGTTAACCGAGGCACCTCTGTATTACACAAGGTCTTTGGTGCAGCTGTACACATATGTGTCTAAGATGAGCAAAATAGTTGTGTTACCAAATACAGTGGTCCCTCGATTAACGAACACAATTGGTTCCACAGAGTCGTTTGTTAACCAAAATTTTGTGAACTGAATCCATTGTTTCAATGGGATATTGGGTAATTGGTTCCAACTCACAGAAAAAGTACATACAGTTAACCCTCACTTTACGCGGTTAATGTAACCCGGAGGGTACCGCGGAAAGCGAGAAACGCGTAAAGTGAATAACATAACATATGGGATTAATTGAAATGGAGTCCAGGCCGATCCCCAAACTCCACTTTTTGACGACACATAACTATGTTGTAGTAAAAATAACATCTTAATTTTATGATGGTACATGCACAAAATTAATACTTAAGAGAAATAGAGAAATACAGTCGCCAAGTTAATGTCCATTCAAATAATGGACACGACTCCCTCCCCCTCTCACACTACACTGCCGGCTCTTCCCTCTCTGAGAAATTTTGGGGGGAAAACCAGGTATAGTAATAAATAATACCTCAAACTAAAGTTAGGATAATATAATTGACATTGCTGGATTCCTTGTAAGACCAGGAATATTTTGAATATAAATGTCATATATTTTTCACAAAAGATAACATACTTACTCAGATTAAACATTTTATCTAAAAATTTTATGTCTAATGCAAAATATATGATGTTTATATTCAAAATGATCACCAAATTGTAAGAATTCCAGCAATGTAAATTATATTCTGGCCGGGTAATTTGTATGAATTTTATGAGCTAAAACAAATATCTTCAGTTAATAAAAAAAAAAAAATATTCTTCACGACACTATCTGTCAATCAAAGTACCCCACCTTGCCTCCCCCCCTCTTCCAACCGCGCGGTCAGTCCCAACCCTCCCCCCCACCCCCCACCAATCCTCCCTTCAAGAGATGTTGGGTGAAAAATTTAGATTTTAACATTTTGTATTAAATAATACCTCAGATTAAAGTTAGGATAATATAATTGACATTGCTGGATTCCTTGTAAGACCAGGAATATTTTGAATATAAACGTCATATATTTTGCACAAAAGATAACATACTTACTCAGATTAAACATTTTATCTAAAAATTTATGTCTAATGCAAAATATATGATGTTTATATTCAAAATGATCACCAAATTGTAAGAATTCCAGCAATGTAAATTATATTCTGGCCGGGTAATTTGTATGAATTTTATGAGCTAAAATAAAAATCTTCAGTTAATAAAAAAAATATATTCTTCACACGGTAACAGATGGTCGGTCGCCGGTCCCTCCCTCCCTCCCCCCCACCCCCCACCAACGTCCCTACTAGATAAATGTGTGGGAATACCAGACTGTTTACCTTTTTAGTAATAAATAATAAATCAGACTAAAGTTAGGATAATATAATTGACATTGCTGGATTCCTTGTAAGACCAGGAATATTTTGAATATAAATATCATATATTTTGCACAAAAGATAACATATTTACTCAGAAAACATTTTATCTAAAATTTGTATGTCTAATGCAAAATCTATGATGTTTATATTCAAAATGATCATCAAATTGTAAGAATTCCAACAATGTAAATTATATTCTGGCCGGATAATTTGTATGAATTTTATGAGCTAAATTAAAAAAAATTATACTTCACCGTGTAAAGGGGTACACCCACCGCGGAATGTGAGCATCCTGGGTTCTGGCAGGGCACCGCGTAAACGTGGAAACGCGGAATGTGGGACCGCGTAAAGTGAGGGTTGACTGTACAAAGTAAAGCCAAAGAGTGCACAAAGTCAGACACACTCCTAAAAATCACCTTTAAATCACTATATACCTGTATATATGTACATATACACTAGAACTCTTAAATCACTACTGTAATGTGATACAGGTGATTACTTTTATCTCTTGTGCAAAATATATGACGTTTATATTCAAATTATTCACTGTTTCGCAAGGATTCTAGCAATGCAAATTATATTATCCTAACTTTAGTCTGAGATATTATATAAGATAAAAACTTTAAGCTTAAAACCCTGGCGGGGAGGAGGGAGGGTGGTGAGGTGATATGTTTGACAGTTGGCGCCGAAGGTCTAATGTGTGTATATTTATCAGTCTTTAAGAATGACTAAGCTTCTCTCTTATAAAATGACAATGAAACGACCTGGGAGAATATAATTTACATTGCTGGGATTCTTGTAAGATAATGATTAATTAGAATATAAACAAGCTATAATTTGCACTAGATTTAACAATTTTAGTACTAATAACATTTAGTACATGTACAGTGCAGGTTTGCACTTAGGTCATTTATTTCTTTTAAGTTTATTTTAGTATGGTGTGTGCATGTAAATTAATAAAAATAAATGAAGAAATTTATGTAAATCTACCCAAAACTACAGTTGAAAAACTTGTACAGTCACCCAAAAAGTCCTGTCGCCTTTCACCCTGAACCATGAACCCCGAGATTCACACTCTTGAATCCGAAGCATTTATGGACAGTGGCGGCTCGTCGGTAGGCACTGTGGAACTGCAGCACCCCCTATTTCACCCGATATATATGTATTATATAATATAATATATCACATATGTTTATTTATTTATACTTGTACAGGATATTTAAAACTATTATTAATAATCCTTAAACTTAATGTCAATGGCCATCCTCTAATTCCGAGAAAACAAAAAAATCCCTGTATGTGGAACTGTCTTACTCGACAGTTCCAATAACGGGCGTTTGCTTTGTCTCACGCATGAGCGCATGTCCTGGAGGCAAGCAGGAGCGAGCACTGTGGATCACACAGTGCCGATCTGGTTATCAGTTTGGGAGGTACAGGTAGTTCTGCTATAACGCGATAATTGTGTTCTTGTAAAATATCGTGTTATAGAAAATCGCGCAATAGAAATAACAGGGCTTATGGAGAAAATAGGGTTAGGTGCAGATTACTCGAAATCGAAAAAATTTAGTAGTTAGCCTAACACAAAGGATAGCACAGTCTAAATAAATGTTACATTCATATCTAATAATGAAATCATACAGTAAATGTAACACTTTACTTGATGGGGGAGAAGGGTGATTTTGAGGTTGATAAAATCGAGCTTCTCTTCAAGTGTTATAGCCTTTCTTTTA